GAAAGGTTATTATGGCTTACCACAACAGAATTAGAGCCAGGAGCTGAAGAATTTGAATCTTAGGCAAGATGGGCATGTGGAATTAAGCTCATTAAAGCGCATTAGCATTCTTCTGTAAAAATCTGAAAACAAATTCAAATATTAGATTTTTGAGTTATTTACAGCGCAAAACAAATGAAACCATTTCATAGGATTTGACTAATTTTGCGAAATTTTATTCGACTGGATGGACGGATCTACTTTAATTCCGACAGATTTTTGCCCCTCTTTCCCAGTATTTGTTAGTTGTATCACAAAATGACAGGTTTTAAGGCTGCAAAGGCAGAAGCGCGAAGGAAGAAGCAACAAGAAATGATGGAGAAAAAAGTTTGTCTTGTGTATTTTTATGAAAATAGATGTTGAAAATTCGATTCTAGCAAAAATTTGAATGTTTGTTCTCGAAGATACAGAATCAATATATTTTTGTAGGAGAAAATAATCTTGTAAAAATTTGAATCGCGAAAAAGATTTTATAGCAGCGAATGAGGTTGCTTTTCTGTACAAGATTCGTAAATTCGATATTCTAAAATAGTAGTAACAAAGTTTGTTTTCAGATATAATTCGGTTATGGCAATCTTTTCAGAAGTTCTAATTTCAAAATCACAATAAATTGATACAAGTAGCGAGGTTCCAAAATAAGTGTCAGTGCAAAAATGGCTGTTTTGCAGAAAAAAATTGAGCTCCAGAAACAGATGGCTAGATTCGAGCGCGAAGTAATCACAGCCAAAAAATCAAAGTGCGAACAAAACTTGTTCTGTTTCATCAGCCCGGATCTTCTTGGCTCCATAGGTTCGTTGAAGGTTATCTGAAAACTGTAAAAAAAAGAATGAAATTTTGAAGGTCTAAAAAAATCACTTGAATCACTTTTAGGAAATCTGGGTGAAATGACGATGAAGGTTTTTGAGAAGCGTAATATCGGTGGGCAGCTTCATCTCGGTGGTCAAGGGCCGGGCGTGTGCTGGAAAAGGAGGATTCTGGAGGGCGAAGTCGAGAATGGCGAATTTATTCGTGGTGAGAGAATGGTTCGCCGCTGTTATCAACATTCGTCATTTCTAGTGCAGTTTAATTCATTATTTTCTTATGATCAAGTTCGTTGCAGATCTATGAGCAGTGCTGTATTTTGCCGATGAATGCAGGGGATTATTCAGCGTTCAAAAGAGCCGAAGAACTTTCCGGATTTGTGGAGCAGTGCCTGCAGAAATATCCGTTTGTGGCGCCCCGAGCTACGCTTGTTGTCTATGGCATTTTACAGATGCCCAAGGGAAAGGTTAGTCCTTGCGATATGCTATTCATTTGGCCTTGGAGCTCACACAAAATTTGATACACATCATACACGCGCCTACAAACGAAACACAGTAGTACAGCTGATCCTTTTGGTGATTACGGCGTATTTCACATTTATAAAAGGAAAAATGTGCTGTCTAATTTGTTTCCCGACCTGGAAAGAAAGTCCGGAAGCGAGGTTTTTTTTTTAAATCCACTGGTAACTTGCGTATGTATACACCATTACGTGTAATGTAGCGCAAAACAGTCATGCCTTTACTTCATAATTTGGACACAAAGTCTAAAGAATGCGGTTTAATTTTTATTGCATATTTGATTTTCATCCTGTTAACCTTATGTTCCTATAACATGGGAGATTCTTACACACAGTTGTCCGAGCATCGTGGTAACTTTGACAGTTGCTTTTGTCAGCTAGAAGTGCTTCTGTTGAGTAGGCTCTATTTTATATAGAATCTTCAGATATTAGGTTGCGATGCACCTGCAAGATTACAGAAAGGCGTATGTGCAGACTAACATAGTTTGTGGTGCGAAAAAAGAACTTTTCCTCTTTAGATGGCAGACTTTGTGTTGGAGATATTTGAGCGATACCGAGCACAGACACGCTTCATAGTTACCGTGGAAGAATATGCAGCACTGATTGCGCGAATGCATCGCTCAATTGCTCGTAATGAAAGGCGTCTGGAAGAGCAGAACCAGCTGATTGTGAACATCGAAAAAGGCATCAGTGAGGTACCAAATGATTTTTATGTGTTTATTAATCGCCCGCATATATGTATATTCTGGGTTTTCCATTTAGCAGCAAGACATCGAGGAAGTACTTGCAAATCACTGTTATCTGTGATGGACGGGTAAAAAAAAGTAAATGAATTTTTGTCTTTCGCTCTAGTGGATGGACATGTACAATGTTCGGACAAGGCTTTGCTGAAACTCTTGCTTGCGTAAGCTGCGACTTCATTATTTTTATTCCCGAAAATATGCAGTTTTGATATATTTTTGTCTCATGTTTCTTTTTTACAGCTGCAAAATTGTGGGGAGCAAAGACAACCACGAGAAGTTCGATTTAAGAAACAAGCCAAAAGTTACCAGCTAAATTAGAAATTTGTGATATGAGTCAAAGCCGAAATCCCCTCCATATTCACTTCATATGAGGGATACAGGTGCTCGGAAATAACTCGAATGGTAGCATTTGCCGACCGCGATCCCTTCTCCCCCTTTTCCACGGATGTTTAATTTCGCACTTGTTAGTGGTGGTTTGGTTTCTGTTTGCAGGGTGATAATTCATGCATCGTATCCGATTGGTGGATGAAAATGCTCAGTCAGATGCACCGTATGGGAAGCGATGCACAGCGTACCATCGCCACCATTTTTCCTGATCCGCATTCCCTACTGAAACTGTAAGTTCGCATCACTTGGATCTGTAGTCATGCGCAGTAGGCCTTTCTAGGTCCCATTTTCGAGGCTTATTAATTTTAAAGTATCTCCATACTGGAGAAAAAAGTTTTTTGGGGAATTATGAGTGTGTATTAAACTGGCGCATCACTGGATATCATACAAAGGCGCGCGCAAATTTATGGCAATTTTCTCATATCCACATATCAGTCCAAAAAGTTATCAGTTTTAACAGTCATAATTCCAATATTTTGCAGATTAAATGATATGTCGATGAAAGAAGGGATGAATTTAATAGCTAACACGAAGACTGACAGTGGCCGTCGAATTGGGCCAGTGCTGGCGCGTAAGATC